TAGCAAAGCTCTTCAAAAATTGCCTCAACTCTCTCAAAAACTCACCTCTATCATTCTGTTTCATGATAGAAAATTTTAGTATGCAAACGTGCCGTCTGTTGTAACCAACGGTACAATTTCTCTAACACAATTTTAAAAATTTATAATCAATTTCACATATCTTCAAAAATTATGAATTAAGACTTTATAGAAAGCTTGAGGTTTCTATTTTCTAATACAAAAAGAATTACTCAAGAATATTATTATTTACCTTTTGAAAATCTTTGATTACGAAGGTAGTTCATTTCATTTTTTTAATCTTCTTCCAAGCCCTAATTGATTATAAAATCATTTTTCAATATATATATAAATACCCTTAAAATATTATTAATTTAATGAACTCAAAGGGTAAGAATTTGAGATGTTACATTTTCTCCAGTGGCTAGAGCTGGTAATATGGGTTGAGCCTACAAACTCAACCCACCAACCTATAAAAAAATGCAAGTTGGGTTGGAAAAGTGAGTTTATTTCTATGCGAGGTGGTTTTTGCTCGCCCCACATAGATTGAACCCGCAATGGGTTAACCCACGAGTTGGCGGGTTAGCCAGCTTATTTTTTTAAAAAAAAGATAGAAATTACAGGATCATTCTCTCAATTGTGAAACCCTTATGATTATTTAAATTATTAAAATAATTTAAATTATGTGCTTATTAATTATTACCGTTATTACCTATCACATTTAATTAGCTAAGATAGCTATAAATCCATAACCAATTAAGTGCATTAGTGTAGCATGCACCCAACTAAAAACTTTTTTACAATTTAATTTGAGTAAAATATTTTTCAGTTAGGCACGAGCAATATAGCCATCTTTTTTAAGGTTAGTTGAGATTCAAACTCTTTATTATTATGTTGCCATTTGAAATAGTTTCATCTTGAGTGATATATGAATTATTTTTAGAGTCATTTAAAATTATTTATATATCAACTTTCAAATTCTCTTTAACAGCTTTTGAAATATGAGTTACTTGGTTGGTAAGTTGAGAACAATTTCTAACTTTATTTTTTTTTATTGCCTTTGTTATTACATTTTACTTCAATGAACTCAGAATTTCTCAGCTAGCCAAAAAAAAAAAAGGTTAGCCGCTAACCTTTACTCAAATTAATGTCAAATTTAATTTAATTTTCTAGACTTCTACATGTTAATTATAGTTCCATGTTTAATTATGTGCTGCCAATAATTAATGATAGATAAAGCTTTTAACATTATAAAAAATTTGTTTAAAATTAAAAAATGTATAAAAATATTTTTTTATTGGCCCGTTGTAGGTTGGCGGATTATAGAAATACAACCTGTCTCACCAAACTCACAACCCACTGCTAGCTAGCCTGTGAGTTGACCCATATTATTAGCTTTACTAGTGACGCACGTGCGATAAAGGAGAGAGCGATGTCTGTAGTTTTAGGTATGATTTAGAGATTTATAAGGTTAGATAAATTTTTCAAATATTTTTGAGTATATTTCTCCATTTTATTTTCAAATTCTTGGTAGGAAAAGATTTGAAATTTTCTATAATTTCAAATTTCATATTATTTTGACTATGGGGGAAGTTTTGGCTAATATATGGGTGAAGTAGAGTTGTTAGAAGTATACTATTGTTGTTAGAATAGTGTGTAATAATTATTTGGTATTTTACCCAATTTTTTTCTTCAAGCAAGCCCTCAGTTGGAAATGGATAATATGAGGATTATATTAATAGTTAATAGATTCAGCTAGACTCATTAGGGTCTAATAAAGATATGAAACTATTAGATAGCAAGGTTATCTAATAAATTAAATTTTGAGATTTTTGAGTAAAAATGAGTAGTTTGGAAAATGGTGTTTTTAGCTATGAATTGATTATTTTGAGTTATCTAATTGTGGACTAAACTCTGTTAAGCTCTTAGAGCATTTGGGAGTTCAGAATTGGATTGTATCCATAAATGCCTCTTTTGAGTGATTTAAGAGGTAAAGATAATCAAGAACCTAAATTTCCTTCTATGAAAGTTTTAAGTATTTTTGATATTATGAAACATGTGTTTTATGTGTAAATGTAATTTTGATGTTTTAGAGAATGAATAAAGTGGGTATAAGTTAGTTTGTTGAAAAATGTGGGCAAATCGAGTAAGCTATACTTTATTGCAAATTATGAAAACGATTGAGAACATTTTGAATATAAAATGTGAAGTATGCATATGTGAATAAAATTTAGTATGTTGATTAGAAATGATGATTATTTGGCATGTGAAACTACATTATGGTGCATGATTGAAATTATGATATATTATAGCATGATTGAGAAATGAAATGGGTGGGAATTCATTTTAGTTGAGAGATTATTATATTGTAAGTCCACGTAGCATGGATAACACTTGGGTAGTTTCTAGTGTTAGATAGTTGTGGCACCAACTCTGATAGGAGTTTGACGTGTTGGCTTAGCTGATGATGCTTATTCTAAGAGTGGGTATGTGTTATTGGCATTAATTATGACATCCTGTGGGAATTCAATTAGTGGGAGAGTCCATAGTCCAACTTAAGGGACTGATGACCTTTGGTCGTGTTACCCCTTTAACATTAGAGAGCTTAGGTTAGTCTGGTCACATGAATTAATCCTATTATGAATTATAGCTTGTAGACTCAGTCAGAATAAATAAAGAGGAGATAAGAGAGAAAATTAATTGATTATGCATATTTAAATATTTTATTATGATTTAATATTGTTAGTTATCGCTTTGCATACCCTTAATGTTTATACTTGGATATGTTAGAAGTTAGGATTTCTTAATTATTGATATATTTATCTCACCCCCGTGATTAATATTTACATGTGGCACTTTGAGTCGTGACAAAGGAAAGGATCCGAAGGTTTAGAGTTAGATTACACCTTATATAGTCTCTTTTATCTTCATGTAGTAGAATATAATATAATATATATATATATATATATTGCCAACTTAGGGATATATATGCATCTATGACTATAATTAAATTTGTGACTATGAATTGTTCTCTACCTAGCCCTTATGTGAACCAAACTCATAAGAGTTTGTTTTTAAGCTAGTAATATTATTGTAGATTAATTACTGTGTTGTGATATTCTTGAATATGAATATCTAGCCTTTTTGTTAATTTGAGGACTTGTAATAGAGTTGTGCATGAGCAGGGTCTGGTAGGGTAGCCCATTAACCTGATACCCTATCCTAAATATCTTCAGGCCAAAAAACTATGCCCAAAGCCTGACCCTACCCGAAAGATGCCCGACTTTGGAGGGGCCAAGCGGGCAAGGTTGGGCAGAGATCGGGCACCTCAGGCAGGGTCTCTAGTCTTGTCTTAACGAAACAAAGAATCAGAACCATCCATACAAATTTGATATATAGTGTAGCAGATTAATTATTTCCATTAATAAATCACTTCAAGCTCTTATTTTAAAAGTAACAGATTGTTAAATATCACTAGCAAAAATATTATGGTATCATCAAAAAACTTAATGGCAAAGCAAATATGGAAGGAATTTTTTATGCAAGTCACAAGTGCTGTCCAATTCCAAATTCTAAGGAATATGAAAATATTCAACCTAAGATTTACAAACTTGATCATCAAGGCACTTCAAAAAAAAAAAAGGAACGAGTGAGGAGTGAAGTGAAGATAAACAATTAAACACTATTTATGTCCCCATCAACTTAACAAATTACATCTTATGTTATTATTTTTATAAAAAATATATTATATCTCGGGCTGGGCAGGGTCAATTGGTTGAATACCCCAACCCTAAACCCTGCCCAACCCGAAGATCGGGCTCAACCCGACCATATCCAAATAGTATCGAGCAATATTTATAGGGCTCGAGTTGGGCATATTTTGCTCGAGTTGGGTCGAACATCTCGAGCTTATGGGCACATGCACAGGCCTAAATTGTAATATGGTTAGCAATATTGTGATTGACACTTATGTGTGATTTTGATAATGATGTTCATAATTAAATTGTGGTTGAATGTGTGATTTGACTCTCAAAAATTGTTTGGTTGAATTGTTGAGTTGAGAGGTCACTATAGTGTAAATACGCTTAAGTTCTATAAAAAGACTAATTTGTCTCTATACTATGGTGTAATCCCCGCTGATGAATTATATATTGTTTGTTGATGACTCTAATATTATGCATTTTTGGGCTCAATAGTTTCGGAAACGAATTTTTATTGGGATTCTGTTTTTAAAAGGTTTTCATTTGTCTTTATTTCTTGAAACTCTAGTTAAGCATATTCTATTATGATAATAGTTAACTAGAATTAATCATCATAGCAGCGTGGGTTAATTTGTATGCTCATCCACGCATTACATGAAGAGCACTGGGGGAAAAAGGGGCGCGCTTTATATTTCCACTCCACCTTCTAACATGTGGGCTATTCCAAGTGGGCTAGTGTTACTTTTAGTTTCCGTGCACTTTTTTTTTTTTTTTTGTCTTTAACGGCGTAAATATAATATTTAACTGTATGATCGCATCTATCCAACGTCTACCTAACCCACTTCTTAAATTTCGTCCACATCTAATCAATATCCGCCTAATCCAATTTTGAAGTATGTTCCTTGCATCTTCCAAAAGCCTAGCATCTCACTAGGAAGACGTCTCTGCACTTAGTCTCGCCACACTATGTCAAGTATCTCACTAAGTTTCTTTTTCATTGTTTGCTTAGGAAACTAACTAATTAGGAACAGCAATAGGTGAAAAAGAATATCGAATATAACTATAAAAGTAGCAGTTCGGTGACCAATGATTGAGCAGAACATTCAATTGAGTTTCTGCAATCTGCATATACGGACAAGTTTGCAAATGCAAACATAGTCAATAAAATTTTCTATTCCCCTATTCTCCTTTTAATCGTCGAACAGCATGAGAGAAGGCTGAGTCAAACATATACTACGTTTGCTATCATCTTACTGGTACATAAATTAATAAAAATAAATAAATTTCTTTTTTTTTGACAGAACAAATACTTCATTATTACCAAACAAACATGTACATCAAACAACAACCAGAGACAAAGGCAGAACGAAATGTTAGCAAATACATCAACCTACTACAAAACTCTACCTCCTAACTGGGAAAAAAAAAAATTATAGCAGCATTCGGGATGCAAATACATCAACCTACTCTCCCTTACGCCAGCAGCATTCGAATCAACCGAATTATCCTCATCCAAAATTATAGCCAATCGGGTTTGGGGTTCGTGGAATCATTCTTGCCCATCCAGCTACCCAGGAAATCAACAGTCCACCATGACTCTTCTTGACAGTCAAATCCTTCGGGATGCATGCTCAAATACTGCATCTCACAACCATAGGTCCACTAACTTTCTCTCAACAAAATGCAACACTGCATATGACTACCAATGCTTGATAATATTTAGGACAGAAGTGTAAGTACCAAATATTCCTATCACTACACCTGTTAATATTGTTCCCACTATAACTACAGTTTCAACACAAAATTTGTTATATGTGCCTGAAATCTTTAAGTAGCACAAGCATGGCAGCAAAATTGAAGCTGTGACGCTCAAAATTGCTCCAACTAAAGACATGAGGTATCCAAAGAAAGGAATAGCCAGGGCAACTATGACTGTACTGATTACCAAGGCCGTGCTTATCAATGCACTCGTGAGCCTGCTCTTGGAAGTTCGAGGTAGCAACCCTTTCAAAGCATTCGTAATTGGTATCACCATCAAAGCATACTTGGATATTGGATTCACCAAAGTAGTAAATATTGCAACTTTTGAACTAAACTTGTTTATTGGTAGATCTAACGTTATCTGTGACTGTACCTCTGAACCAAACATCAGGTAACCAAAGATGGCAATTGATGCATAACCAAAAGTGCTTAGCACAAAACACATTAATAACGCCTGAAATATAAATAAAACAACATCGATGAGAAATAAATTAAGAAAACATGCACTGTTCAACGCAGAAGGGAAAGGACTTACATTGGAGAATTGAGGTTTCTTCCTGATCGAATTATACAAGGTGGGAAAGACTGGATGTGCGCAATAACAGAAGGCATACAAGCTGACAGAAGTAGGGAAGCCATCCCAATCAATAAGGGTCCCACTGTTGTGAAATCCAACTCCATCGACCGTTGCGGTCCAAAATATGGAGCAAATTATGATAACAGAAGCAACCACACCACTCGCAGATATATACGAGAGAAGATTTAAGTTATTCAACCAAACCGAAGGCAGAATGACAAGGCCTATCAGTAACACAAAGAATTGCTTTCCACCAACGGAGACGCCTGCTAACTCAATGACAATATTGGGGAATATATTGTTCAAGTTATCCCCTTCTAGGATTAAGAATCCTGTTGCGACTAAGTAAAGTTCAGTGTACATGGTTATTGATACCGCAAACTTTCCTTTCCTTCCAAATGCGCAATGACCTATATCAGGATAGGTTTTGACTCCTGGATTCATATCCATGCATCTTTTGATCAACACACCAGTGTAAAAAGTTGCCAAGGCAATGATAAAAAGAAGAATTAAGCTGAGCCATCCTCCAGATGCTAGAGCATATGGAATGGAGAGTATCCCAACTCCTGAAAACCATGCAGAATATAACTTATGTGTTAGTTTCAATGTTTCATTATAACAGAGGAATTGTAGGTGTTGAAAAACATATCCCCAGAATCGGGGCGAAAGGCTTAAACATTAAACCTGCCGTGACGTGCCAAATTTATCCATCTTAATTTTCTTGTCTTTCAAGGCGCGGGTATAATTCTTAAGAACATTTTTCTTTCCAATTTCTTCACATTAAACACGAATGCTTCCATTGTTTTTCTTTTCTGCCTCTCCTTCCTTGAATAGGAGTAGTAATAAGCCTAGTTGCTAGAATAGGAGTAGATTTTAGGTGATAGCCCGGCTTTTGTAAAACAAGCTCAACGTCCCACTAGTAGATGAAGGAACCACTTTGAGGTGCAGGGATGGATTTGTGAAGAGGAGAACAATAATGTTGGTTCTACATACGATGCTCAGTTCAGGCGCTTTCTACTGCCAAGCAAGTATTGCTCACTGGCTACTGCCGCTTCTCGGACCATTTTCTTGATATGTCACGTTACTCTCCTTTTGTTTCAGTGTGTAGTTCAAATATCACTTCAAAACCTCCCTCATTCTTTCATTTGCCGGAGTCGGCTTCTCTTATTTGAGAAAAGCTTCTTCTGCCTTTTCTTTGAGGTAAAAATAAATATAGATAGTCCAAATTTAATTTTTTTTATTTTTAATTTATATGTTTAAAATAACAAATATGTAAAAATTTTAAAATTTTTTAATAAATATACTTATTAATCTGACAGTTGAGATTTAATATAGATACTTTAAATTTAATATAAAAAATTTAAATTAATTTTTTAAATATATTATGAACAGTATAAATATATTCTGAACAGAATAGTAAATTTATAAAAAAAAAGTTAATATTACATTTAAAACATTTATATTAAATATGAACTATTACATTTATAAGTATATTTATTAATGTGTTTTATAATTTTTATATATTTTTTTTAAAAAAATATTAAATTTAAATGTTTCAGATTGTTCAAATTAAGCCTCTGCCTCGAACAAGAGGCAGGGGAAAAGCCGACTCCTTCATTTGCCTTGGGTTTCATTGCGAGAATGAAATGTGCGGACTTTTCAAATAGGCGTGTCACATAAAAATACCCCGAAATGCTAATTTCTCTGGAGTACCGAGGCCCTTTTCAGAGAAAAACGATTTTGGAATGGTTACTTTGTTTCAATGACAAAATAGCTTAACCAATGATAAATTATTTTTCCAAATTTATTTTATCAATCTTCAAGTTTATTATTTACATGACTATAATGGTTAAGACAATGACTATTTTGTTCACTGATAAAATAAATCTGAGAAAATTAGTTATCAGCGGTTAAGCGTTTTTTTTTTTAATTCACGATGGGATTTGTTTTTTGAAAAACAGGCAATATGATCATTAAAAAAATGTCAAAAAAACAATCTAGAAACTTCAAAGGAATTAACTCATGAATTCATGGTCCTTTTGTGAGATCCCTATCTGGAGGTCCTCACATGCCGTTCTTCCTATTCTATAATATAACCCCAAAGAATTTGACAGGAAAGGAACCATATCCATGGGGAACGAATAGCCCAAGCTAAAGATTTCCCAGATCGCTTCTGGGAGCAGATATTTCAGAGGAGAAAGCAGTAAGAGGCGGAAATCCGCGGCACCGAAGTTTTACCGTAACGGACCCCTCGTATTAAGACGATATTATCAGTATCAGTGTATCAGCAAGTTTCAACTTTCAACTGTCGATAACAATTAATGATAAGGAAGGAGACGAATAGATAGTACGGGCAAATGGTTTACGTCTTTAAAAACGCGATTACAATTGTTCCGTTCTAAGAAAGTATTTAGTTTATCGTATGGATACTGCAAATAAATGGTCAAAACAGAGCTGAAGAGTGACGTGAAGATGAGAGTCGCAGAAAGGGCAAAAAAGGGAACGAGGGAAGCACCTGATAAGGCATTAAGGCAATTAAGGCAAGTCTTGAGGAAGGAGGTGGAGCCGAGGCTGGCTTCGCCGTCAGAAGCATCTTTGTTCGGTGGTGCTTCACCATTCAGCAAGGGACTGCTGAGGCCCACACCATCTCGCTGCTTCGCTTCCATGGATATTCCAGACAGAGATTACGCCCAGAACTAGGATGGCGTCACTCGCATGAATAACCGGGACAACTTTGCTCGATCACCAAAAAAAACAATTTATTTATAGAGAAAGAACACTAAATTTTTTTTTTTTAATTTTCCCGGTCTCATCTCTGTTTTTCGTTTCCGGCGCTCTCTCTCTCTCTCTCTCTCTCTCTTCTTTCTATTTCCTCGTTCCTTCCCCTTTCTCTTTCTACTCTTCCCCAGAACAGTTGATCTTGTTTAATAGCCATCCGTGAGAAATTTAATGTTACTATAAAAATCTTCTCTATGTAGCTATGAATTTAACATGATCGGTATTAAATTAGTATGTATTGTTGGTCGGGGAAAAAAATGAGTCAAGAAATATCATATATTCTAAATTATTTACATGAATACCATTCTGAACTTTTAATTTTTAAAATATGTAAAAAAATTAATTCATAAATTTTGAATTCTTGAAATATCATCATTAAATTTAAAAATATGACTGTTATTTTATAATTGTGAGATTCAATCACATGTTGATGTGATACTCTACTTGATCCTTAAAAATAATAATAATTTTTCAACTTAACAATAAGATTTCATGTGTTTGAAATTTAAAAATTAATAAATTTTTTTATATATTTTAAAAATTTAGGATTCAATATATTATTTACAGAATTCACAGAATAATTTAAATCATATTTGGTACATTAAAATTGGATTCAAGAGAAATGGAATTAGAATTGAATCATGCTTTCAATTGTTTGGTATGCATGAATCCAATTCCTTATGGATTTCAATTTTACCAAAATACCTAGAATTCAGTTTCATCTCCATCATGATGGAATTGTCACAATTCCATGGAATTGTTTTAAGTGCCCCACATACACACTCCATCATGATGGCTAAGTTTTTTATTTTTTTATAAGGGCATTTTGGTCTTTATTTATTTTAAATACATATATTTATTAATATTATATTCAGATTCATCTTCATATCAAACATACATTTATAACTCAATTCTATTCTAATTCCAATTCCGATTCCAACTTCAATTTCGATTCCGATTCCGATTTCATCAAAAACTCTTCCATCATATCAAACGAGCCTTAGATTTTAGAATTCTCACTTATCTAAAAAAATTTTGCAATGTGTTATTTGGCCCAAAAAAAAAGTACTATGTGTAATCCTTAAATTCGCTACACGTGTATATTACTCTGAAACAAGGTGATTATTTTTCTCATGTAATTCCTTCGTCTCTGAATATATGTCTAATTTTTTTTTTTTGTAAACTATGTTTCTAATTTTTTACCTTTCTCTATCTCTAAATATAAGTGTTAATGCAAATTTTTAGGTATAATTAATCTTTTTTTTAAATACTTATAATTAACACTTGTTTTTAGGTAGTTGAGGTTTAAGTATATTATAAAATCAAATAGAAGGAGAAAAATGGAAAGGAAAAACTAATTTTTTTACATGAAGAGTCTATGATTTATGTGTTTTTCAATATTTAGGACTCACTCTATCCAGTTTAAAATATGTGACATTTTCCACTAATTAGGATTTATCTAAAATGTATGATATAACTTTGTAAAATGTCAATAAGATAAATTCTCCATTTCACAAATATCTTTTATTATTGTATTATAAATAAAAATTATACATAAAAAATAATTAAAAATAACAAGGTGATTATTTTTTCAGTATTTTCGTCTCTGAATATATGTCTAATTTTTTTTTTTGTAAACTATGTTTCTAAATTTTTACCTTTCTCTATCTCTAAATATAAGTGTTAATGCAAATTTTTAGGTATAATTAATCTTTGTTTTTAATTACTTATAATTAACACTTGTTTTTAGGTAGTTGAGGTTTTAAGTATATTATAAATCAAATAGAAGGAGAAAAATGGAAAGGAAAAAAATTTTTTTACATGAAGTCATTGATTTATGTGTTTTTCAATATTATATTAGGACTCACTCTATCCAGTTTAAATATGTGACATTTTCCACTATTAGGATTTATCTAAATGTATGATATAACTTTGTAAAATGTCATAAGATTAAATTCTCCATTTTCACAATATCTTTTATTATTGTATTATAAATAAAATTATACATAAAAAATAATTAAAAATAACTAAGATTGATTGATTTTATTGGAGGATGATTTTAAAAAGTATTGATATTTTATAAAATTTTAATGTATAAATTACTTTTAATTATTTTCTTATTCTTATGAAATAATTAAAGGTTGGGGAATTATATTTTAGTCAATATACTACTACATTTTTTTAATAACAAACGTCTTTGTTGTGAATAGTTTCAGAAATTCAGGGTATTTGTTACTCCCTCTATTCAAAATATAAGGTATTTTTGAGAAATTGAATGTTAAAATGTAAGACATTTTTAATTTTTGAGTGATTATTGCTCTTTTTTAAAAAATCTCTTATTAATTAATGATTTTATATTTATTGTAAGGTATTTCATAGGAATAAATATGAAAATATATGATTAGTTAAAAAATAGTAACTACTTTATTAAAAGGTGAGATTCAATTAAAATGTCTTATATTTTAAATGAGGGAGTAATAAATAAATGTGGTCTTATTTCTTAAGCGTTGATTCTCAAATCTGAGGGTATTAATCTTGCACAGCATAATGTTCAAGAAATTTCCTTTTTGAATTTGCAAGGATTTGCCATTGCTTGTATTGTTAGCTTGCTTTATTGGATTCATAGCACTATTACTGCAAAGGTTGCAATTGACATTTGGATGACCTTAAAAGGATCCATTTCCTCTGATTCAAATCCTCCGATTCATGACATTATGTATATCCTCTCCAACCTTTCAAAGCCTATTTTTTTAGTGTAGCTTCACATGTTTATTAACTTTTTCAAAGTTTCTTTTCTTTTTTAAATGTTATTATCTAATTTTTTATCATTTTATTATGCATATTTGACTTTTTATTTTTGAAAACAAGAATGTCGGGCTTTTTTTTTTTGGCATGTTCTTGAATTTAGAATTAAAATCAAATTTTACCACCAATAAAAAAAAAAGTATCAAACACTTTGTCATGAAAAATGGAAGCGTTCGTCACTTTATTGGATCTACTCGTCAAGGCTGCACCTGCGACGAGACTATGACTGCAACAAGCCAATTGTTGTCGTTGGCCAACTGCCTGTCAATTCGAAGTAAGCAAAAATAGATCACGAGTTGAAAGGAGGAGATCCGTTTAAAATATTTACCGATGCTGCGACTTCTACTAGTTTATTGTTATTATTATTTTTTGTAAGTTTTGTTTGTGGTTCATGGTGAGGGTTGGGTAAATTGTGATATTTTTCTAATAACTTTAAAAACTGATTTTTGGAAATGTGCATAATTAAATTGAAAAGAAAACATTAAGTAACAAAGATGTGAAGGAATATTGGAAGAAATCTACTAATTTCAATAGCTCCAAAAAGACACGGTGAACAGAATCTATTTCTTATTATATACTCCCTCCATTAAAAATATAAAATATTTTTTAAAAAGTTGAATGTTAAAAAATATAAGATATTTTTAGTCTTAATCATTATTTTAAAAAAATACTCAATTGATAATAACTTTATATTTATGTAGAGTGTTTAATAGGAATAAATATAAAAAAATAAATTTAATTAAAAAAAGTAATTATTTTAAAAAAGATAAAATTTAATTAAAAATATTTTTATTTTTAAATGGGGAGAGCATGTGTGTGTAAAAGAAGGCATGGATTGAGTGAATTTACACGCAGTTCACGGACTGGATTCCGTCACTGCCAAGAGGGAGGCCGGAAAACAACCCACGTCGAGATAAGGATGAATGGTGGGGGCCCGGGGCAATGGTGTTTCCCCCTTCTCTTTCCAAGTCATTAGAAGATGAGATCGAAGGAGGAAAAAAAAACTAAAATAATCCTTTTGAATTTTAGTCGGATAGAAATATTATTCTACCAAACATGCATATGAAAAATAATAAGTAATAATAACAATTTAATTTAATGAGCACAAGTGTAAGAATTACTAAGTGTAATGTCTAATAACAAGGTCGATGATGAAAAAATAATGAGTGAATGCATTGTTTTGACAAGGACGTACGTACGTACATATATGAATATATATAATAACAAGTGACAATACTGCCTTCACAAGCATGGGTATAAAAAATAACAACTGTAATAATCTAATAAACATGATGGCAAAAAATGACAAGGAAGGTTATTGTTTTTTTAAGTATGCATGTAAAAAAGAACAAGTAACCATGATACTTTAATAAGTACGAGAGTGAGAAATAACAAATGCAATATTCTAATGAGTATGGTGGTAGAGAATGACAAGTATTGTTTTGATAAACATGTATATAAAAAATGACAAGTAATAAAAATAATTTAACAAATAAGAGTGTAAGAAGTACAAGTATGGTAATGTAAAATGACAAGCAGGGTTATTTTCATTTCTTTCTTTTCAATCTTTTTGTCTTGGATGAGGTTTCCATGGAGTAAATTCAAAATATTTTAGTTATAAAATTGATCTCAGTTAATTCTTTTTCTTTCCTTTTCTTTTGGTATTTGGTCTTCTATATTTAATGTTCATTATAAATATTTTTTAAAAAATTTGTTTCAATTTTTTGCCACTACTGTATCTGCATTTTTACTTTTTTATACCTTGTATTTTTTATGACAAAAGTATAATTCTAGTCTTTTAGCTTTATATAAAGTTTTAATTTGTTCTGTTAATTTTATAAATTACTTTTCAATCCTAAAAATCTTATTAGTTTTAAATGATTTTTTTAAAAAAAAATTAAACTTAATATATCAAAATCTAAAAATTTTGTTAATATCTAAAATTTCAATGTAAAAAATTTTTGTGACGAAATTGATGGTATTAGAGTTAAATGATTAACAAAATATTTTCTAAAATTAAGGGACCAAAACAAAATTTTATATAAAAAATTAAAAGTGAATTTTAGCATTTTCTTTATTTATCCATCATAATTAATGAATATGTTGAATTTATAAATTTTGAATGAATATGTTGGTAATGCTGCTAGATTATTTTTTTTTAAGAAACTGCAAAATAAATATGGAAGAAGCATATTTATATCTATCTATACATGTATATGTGCGTCACAAATATCAAAGGCTATATTTTATTCAAAGATTTTACCTAGGAGAGTTTGAATCCCAATTTTCATG